CCCATTCGGCATTCGAGTTCTGGTGATTTCATCCCCTCGGAGGAGTGGATATCCGATGAGGGCAGTTTCCGGATTCGCGATTTTCCCCCGGAACGGAGCTGCAGCACAAAGCCCAATAGCCAGATATTCATTCATTCATCGGAGGGAACGCTTTCTGTGAACTGATTCACGAAGCGAATGCAACCATGACAGGAGATCGGCACTGAGTTTTTCCCGCAGCTGGGATCGATGGAGCCCAACGCAAAGCTTTCGGGGAAGAAAAGCTCGCGAAACCTGTTGACGACACACCTTTGCGAGTGTAGGTCAGGATTTCTGATTTCACGTCATTAACAAAGGAGCTCGAACGGTATCGACGACATCCACCGGATTCATCATCTCTCACGTGACAGGGAATTCTCGGCCTTCCGAGAAATTCAGTGCTTGTCATCTTTCTTCTTTCCGCTCAGTCGTTCCCTGCGATGCGATTCACAACACAGAGCATCACTAGATGCCCGTCAACAGAAAAAAAACGTGTTTTTCCAGGAGGCATTCGTATGCAAATTGTGAGCGCGAGCTGGTGCAGATTACGTGGGTTCTCTTGTCAAACACGATCAGACTTGTGGGAGAGAGGAGCACGCGGGGGATTTTTCTAGCTTTGTTTTTGTTTTTGCTCCCACCGCACAGTACCCTTCTTCTTTTTCTTTCCCTACTTCGATTCAATGAGATTTTCGTTTCACTCCCGGGGCCGATCGGGCGACCGACGTCAAACAGGGGACGGGGACCGAGACGCTGACGCCGAGGCTCTGCTTAAAAGTTCGACAGCGATGCAGAATTGGGACGACTGTCCAGAGCATTGTTATTCTTTTCAGCTCACTCCAGGGAAGAGGAAAAATAAAGAAAAAGCTGTCCCGGACACTGATTCTGGTTTTTGCGGTGACACACCGAGCTGGTCACAGATCACAAACGCGCTTCGAAGCGGAAGGTATGCTGAGTCACGTGTCCCCGATCGAATGAACTCTTCCAGGGCCCGAAGTTTGAAACGCAAGGATCGAATGATGTTCCGGTGCCCGTTGACGTTGATCGAAAAACCGAATTCAAAATTCACGGCGCGATGCGTCATGATTTCCAATGCGATCATGAGGATACGAGAGGAGCCGATCGGCCGTCGTCCAGATCGCGAGTTCGGGGCTCCCGATCGCGATTTCGAGATCAGCGAGCCCTACGCAAAGGACACGTCAAGACGTGGGATTCCGTCGCTAGAAAATGGATTCATCCCAGCAAGTTCTTAATCACCATCAGTCCTTTGTGATTTAGAGGCGAGTTTCTTGTTTGCTTCGTAGCTCAAAGATACTTGCCTTGGCACTAGTGTGAGGGATGCTTGTTAGGAGGCTGGAAGTTGCCGGAAGTGTGTTAGGCTTAGGAAGTTCGTTAGTGGAGTTGAGATCAGAACAGCGTGCTCGACGACGAGTGGCAGCAGCAGAAGCAGAAGCCGTCTCCCCTGTCGGTATCTTACCCGGGTCTCGGAACTCGGTAGGAGATCGTGGTTTCGCTCTGGCTGAGAGTTGGGACTTTGTCCAAACCGTCGGCTCACGTTCTCGCATCGCGGAGATGGTACGAGTCTCCGACCGGAAAACGCGGCCGTGGTCTCGTCAAGATTGAAAAGCGAGACAAGCCAACCGTTCCCTTCCACCGTGAGACTTTTTGAGGCTCGATATTTCGTAGTTTGTCCGAAGCGGAATTCGGCGTTCCCGGATCTTACATTTTTCTCATGAGATCACGCGAGAACAAGGGAGTTGAATATTCTTCACTCAACACCGATGTATTGCTTGAATATTATATTTCGAAATTTCGACTGCATCGAAATTCCGAATAGCAGTATTCTGAGGGTTCTCTGAGTCTTCTTCAGAGAATTCGCGTGCAAACCTTTATGATCAGCCGATAATTTGGGCCAACTCTGTTTCGCTTGTCAAGATCCCGATAAAACGGATGCTTACGCTGCACACGTAAACAGCAGCGCTCAATCGTTTGGCTCCGGGTGAGCACCTGCTGGGAGGCTGTCATCGGAGACGGCCGATATTCTTATCTTTTCCTTCATTCATTCGTGTTTTTTTCGGCTCGGCTTCTCGCTCTTTGCTTGTTCGGTCGTTCATTCATCGCGTTGTGACCTCCTGACCTCCGACGGAAGATCCTAATGGAGCAAAGGGACTAGAGTGTGGTTCTTGGCTCGTTCATAACATCGTTTGCGTTCCGTCCCGCTGAAGCGGGCGCCGAGAAACTTCAACAAATTCAACCGGACACCGCCTCGAGTCCAAGGACGAACTCGAATCGGCCGCTCCCGAATGATAGTCCGGAGAGACGTTGGACCAAGAGGAAGTGGCTGTCTGACGGAGATATGCACGGACACCGGGAGCTATGAACGAGGAACGATATGGATTGGAGGGCTTAGAGCAGTCGAGGGAAGGTGAGCCCATATAGAGCACCTATATCGAGCACAAGGAGACACTGAGAAGAGTGTTCTCGGCCGTGGAGATATCGGCGCGGACGGATGAATTAAGAAGAATAAAGGCCAGACGATTCTGTTGATATCGGAAGGTGTGGAGGGGATTAGATATCGAGAGGGGTCTGCGAGCTTAATATTTTCCCTGATTCGGGGGGCGGGGTGGACACGAGGGACACCGGGGGCGAGGAGAAGAACGTCGAGAGTCGGATCGTCGAGACTCCATTCAACCATGATGGGTCATAGGCTGCGGATAGAACGAGTGCGAAGACTAACTCAGAGGCGATAGAGGGACGCCCGTGGAGGGGGTGGGCCGATGCGTGAGTGACCGAGTTCCGAAACGGAAAGTGAGCGAGAGGGGGAGCCAGCGTAGTTCCAGGAGATACTGGAGGAGCAGATAGGGCGCCTCTTGTGCAAACGAGAGATTTTTAGGCTGCTGCCCTGTTCCTAACGGTCGCCGGTCATTATACCGCCCACGCAGTGCCTCAGCTTCTGCCGATGAGAGCTCTTGTCAACAATATAGCGAGCCAGGCGACCAGACAGCAGTCGAAGCATCTACTTCAAAGCCATTTTCTGTATTTGTAATCAAGAGGGGAGCTGTACTAGTGTCTCTAATTGCTTCGGAATGCCATCATTTAATCGGCTTTCGGAAACGTTTCCGAGACGGCACGTTTTGCTCCATGGTGGTAGCGGTGGTCAGTTTCCCGCCGGACGGTCGGCCGTGCGGATCGACCGAGTGGTTTGCGCTGTGAACCGCTCTATCGCTTGAACTTCCAGGCGGTTCGGGATGGGAGACGATTTCTCGCCTCTCCACTTGAGCTCTTCCACGAGGAACTTTTTTCCAACCCTTGGAGAAACGCATCAGACAGCCTTAGCGGTTTTGCGAAAATAAATAATCGAAGGAGCGAGGAGACTCCGTGCATGGCTCTGGGAATGAGAAATCAGAGAGAAGAGCGTGACTTCCGAGCACCTACAGCGTAACAGAAATCAGCTGAGTAGCGAAGATATAAGTCGGTTATTGGGCTCACTGGAGTTTTCCTCTAAGGGAATGATCGACATCTGGGAGCTCGGGACCTAGCTGCCGGAGTTCCGACGCTTGACAGCGACACAGAGCCGGAATGACAGGGTGGCGTTAGACGACACGGATGGAATCTGTTCTTGAGAGTCGCATCTTTGTCACTTCCTATAGGAAATTGAATTGCCAGTATCCGACCGTCTGGACGGAATCAGTATTTCCGAAAGTGACTCATTCGGTTCCGAGCCCTAGGTTCTCCCCCCTTGGCACAGAAAATTCCCCGAAGAAGATTATTCGGATAAACTTGCTGCCATCGATGCCATACGATCACATTCCTGACAGACAATATTCTTCGGCAAGAAATCGCGTGGCAATGTAGAAAATGTGGATAGTTGTCTCCGAATCCGTACATGTCTATGACCGGGTGAGCGGACCACTCCCACCAATTTCGGCGCACTCACATTCCAGCGTGGTTTCGTGACTCAACGTTTTTTTTCCTCTTGCCTCGCTCGCATTTTCTTTCTTCTTTTTTCATTTCGCAGCTGTCGTAGCCGCAGAACAATCTGTGCACTTGTACTCAAGGAATATCCATTAGGGAACTCAATCGTCATTTGTTGCGTGCTGCTTTCGAAAGTGGCGACGCGCATTTCCGCGGCTCCCGCGTACTTATGCCGAGAGAAGAAAAAGTGGAAAGCCAAAGTGAGGGGTTTGTTCCGAGGCATGGACTACACGAATATGGGGAGCGGAACCATCCGGGAACAGGAAGCTGCTCGGAATCTGAGGCTAGGCCGGAGCGAACGAGGGACACCGCGGAAACCGAAAACGTGACTTTCGATATGGCGCCAGGGATCCGAGATGCTTTTTCTACGAACAGATAGGTAATATCATTTGTGGGAAGTCTCCTGGTAGCTAGAAGCTTTCAGCAAAAGCTCGCGGCTCCGAATTTGAAAACCGGACGATAATCTGCCGTTACCGTCCAAATTACCGATCGATGAATCTCCAGGACCGAATGGATTTGACTTTTCAATTCCCAGGCTCGTCCCTCTTTAACTTCTGTGAGGCGACGGTCCCGGGAGCCCAGCCAGAAAGCTGTGAACCTCTGAACACTTTTCGGATGGAAGTCGCGACTGTGAGAACTTGCCACTTTGGAAAGATCCCCATCATGCATGAGGCTCGCCGCAGCTCACGATGATGATACTGGCGTGTCACTCAAGTCGAGAACAATCGCATCAGGCCAACGGGTCACCGGACCAAAGCCACCGACATGCCGCTCGAAGTAGTTCAGTGGTGTCTTCGAAACTTCGCTGACATCGCTAATTCATTTGCTGTTGTGACGGCCGGAAGACCATCGATCATCGCAAACGAATTCGAATCGGCGAAGATTATCACGCATAAACTCTTACTGGATGAAAATGAAAGGTTTCGTGCTCCGGGGGCTTTGTTACAACACCCTTCAAAATTCTATCGGAGCGGAGCTGTAGAAATAGGTGGAAAACCGAGAAAACTTACTCGAAAATCCCGTTGCTCGCGGACCGTATCCATAGTTGAGAATTTTCTTCCCGTAGAACAAACCGAACTGCACGGTGCCTTGGAACTTCTCCGAAGTTAAATTGTCGTCGTCGCTCTCGAGATTAAAAACACTGTCAACCGCCGAGTCTCGGACCATCCGGACTTTTGCTACGAGCCAGTTGTGGGTCAGTAGCGAGGCCGACAAGAGACAAATGGCCAGACATGAGATCAGGAATGTCAAGAAGGTGAGTGCACGAGCTCTGGCATCCATCTTGACCTCATGACACTCCGAGAGCACACTCAGAAGAGACGGAACGCCGTTCTTGTCGCTGTTCACCCGTTAAACATGCGGACGCTGCCGAAACTAGCCGAAGCAAGTGAAGTCAGTCCGTCAGTCAGCTGCCGTTCCTATGGTGACCCCGGCGTCAGGGAGAGGGCCACGACGCTCCGGACCCACCTTCAGAACACTATTCTTCCCATTGAGCTACGTGTACTGTTTCACTGGGCGGCCATTCATTCGGTCGCTCGGCGCTTCGGCCGCCCGACCTCAGACTCGCTTTGCGAGCATGGGCCGGCTCGGAGCCACCGGGTCCAGAGTCCGGACTCTGAACTCGCTCGGTGTGCGATTTTTTCCCGAATAGGGAGAGAGATTTCTCCCGTCTATTCGTTTCTCGAATCGAGTGAAATTCCTTCGGGACGGATTTTCGGAGAGGACCCACCGAAGAGACCAAACGCAGTCCCGCCGGCTTTTGGGGTGAAAAGGAAAATGTGCGGTGTCATGGTTCCTGAGAATAATGAGCGACATAAGCGATGAATTATTCCGCCCGTTCTGACGCGAGCTCGGCTACGGCAATCTCCTACGAGCCAAGTTTCGACCAGTCCGAGCCCGGGCCACCTCATGGCAGTGCGTCGAGGAGGGAGGCAAATGGTGGTAGCACCATTCCCGGCGGGAGAAGAAAAACAGAAAAGCGAGTCAAGTGAAGATGATGAAATTTCAGGAAGTTGAGGCAAAGCTGTTCCCTTGCGAGCGATGATGAAAAGTGGCAGCTGGCAACTGCAGTAGGCAGAAGCGATTTGAGGCAATCCAGAACCTTTCGTCCAAGCAAAAGCGTCCGACCGATGGTCCGACGACATCACAATTACCTGGCCAATTACACCTGGCGTTTGTTCGCCGGCTCTATTGTGACGGTTAGTCTTGCAGGATTTCGAGTTCCCAGTTGGTAGAACCTTTCCGCTTCGATCGGAAATAGTGCGGACCAATTTGTCCTTGGGTTTTCTAACGACGGACGGTCGCCATCACCAGCTACAAGCGGTCTGATTTGTTGATTGGCCGATTGGAAACGACCGAACTCCCCAAACAGTGCTCTGACGGCTCGTCAACGATGACCGCACCGTAACCGAAAATTCGCACGGTCACTAGGATCGCTACCCTTCCTTCTCAGGAATCGCTCAGAACCGCGGGGTTCTCATTGAGAACGGTGGAAATCTCATCGACGAGTTCCGGGAGGGGGGAGGAGGTGGCAGCGTCAGGGAACGGGGCTCCCTCGGAATCCCGGCGGTATTCCCTCGAGGTTCCCCGAGATAAATTCACGGGCAGTCAGGGAAGGTTGAAAAGGTTGCTCTAGATTCCCACTCAAAGGCTCCCGTGGACGGGTAAGACGGCGGGAGGCGGTCCGGTCGGCCCGTAATGCACCGCCGCCGCCGGTCTCTTTGCTCCGGTGTTCGGCTGCGCTCATTCCAAGTGCAGCTAAAAACTGTCGAATGAGATCATGGACTCTACAGGACCGGGGGTTTTTATTCAGCACAGGCAAAGTCAAGACTTGAGAAGTAATGAAAGTTTGGGAAGAGGGACGCAGGACAAGGTCGACCTTATAAAGAGAGAAAGTCTTCACTGAATGATGCGAACTCGGACCGTGTGTGATACAGGAGCGACGACATCGACGTCGTACCGCCGCTGTACTGTAACTCCATCGGCATGCGTGGACGATTTTCTTTTAGACGAACGATTGCGTTCCGAAAGTCGCCTGTAGCGAATGTTTGGCGTAGAATTAGTTTCGCGGTCGACTTCCGTTCTTTGAAGCCGCTCTGCGAACAGAGTTCAATGGGTGCGTGAGTCGGTCGCTTCACAAATGTCTTTTGGCCAATCAAGCGGAATTCGCAGAAACTCTCAGCGTCATCCGTCGCTCCTTTTCCCGGAATCAGGTACACCATGATGTTATGAAGATTGGCTCTTGGCCAGGCTCCGGTTCGTTCCAGGTAGTGACACGAACAATAGCGTTCCAGGGAAATTCTGCGTCGACGTCCTACCCCGAAAATTTTCGTACAGATCACTCGTGGCAATGAGTTTGCGTGGCGTGATCGAGAGCTGACCGCCCAATGGAGGGGCCGTGATTTGTCAAAGTCTCCTCACTCAGACACGAGATTCTGCGGAACATACCACCGTACAATGAATCACGCTCATCACAATCGAGTCTTCCGCGGCGATATCGGGGAATTGAGAGGATGAATGAGCGTCCGGCGATCATTCGAACTCTCGTCGGAGCTCGGACATGCGGTTCCGGTTTCCTACTCCTTTCAGTATGATAGAATCGGGACGTCGACGGGGCACGCCGTCGCCACTTGAAGCCCCGCTCGCCAAGAAGAACAGAGGTCGGGGACTCAGAATCGGGATCTGATTGAATCTCTACTACGTCGTCGAGGTTGACGCCGGCGCCGCCGCACCAGCCATGAAATATCCCACTGCGTCGACGGAGCTTCGACGTCGACATCTCATACAGCTTCTCCGCCCACATGGAGCTTCACAACAACGCGTAGATACCCGAATCTGCCTTGCTCTCGATCTCAGCACCTTGGCCGGTTTTTTCTCCTTTCAAACTCGCTGCTCCATCCGCGTCTCTTCCGGCGCACCGAACGACGCTATATTGGACGGCGCGGCCAGGGCCATTTTTTTGTCTCGAAGATATCGCGTAGTGTGTGAACGTCCTTCCGAACTTTATGCCGAGGCTCTGCAGCTGGGAGGAAAAATTGAAGGAGCACGAGGAGCAGCTCAGAATGTCTTGGGTATCTCTGACTTTTAGTGATCGCTGTCTCTCTTCGATCGGGGAGAATTTCGAGGATAGAAGCATCCGAAATGAGTTCAGGCTCTCGGCATGAATCGCGTTTGTCTACCTTTCACCTCGAGCTCCTATTGAAATCCGACGCCCCGGATCTCGTTGTTTTCAATTCAAGAGCAACGACGGGACGTGGCATTGATTCACTCGTACGATACCGGTGGCATAAACCTCAATCAGATCCGACGCCCGCAGAACGTGACTTCGAGGAAGTATAAAACTGCGAGGAAATAGAACTCTTTGAAGTTGAAAAGGTGGACTTACGTGGAATAAAGCTGTACGTGTCCGAGCTCTGAATGGCGACTTCGAATTCCGGAGGAACATCGGAGAGGAACTCGTGTCGCATCGCTGGACGAGATCGCTCCGAGCCGGGCTGTGCGGGCGAATCGTTTCTTCTCATATGAAATTATCCTCGGATTTCGCGGTAGGTTGACCACGGAACTCCGTGCGAAGACTCGCCCGGAGAGCTCGGAGTTTGCTCGAGATCGAACGATCCAATAAGTCGCTCGAGGAGAGTTTCTTCACTGCGCACATCTATCGAATCGACCCCCTCTAGTCTGATCCATCCTCAGGCCGGTGAAGTCTTTTCAGGTGAGTTCCGTCGGACACCACTTTTCACGTTCTCAAGCGGGAAGTTTTAGATGTCCATCGAACGAGTGAATTTCCGTTCCTAAGTTCAGCAGACCAATCCATCGGAGCCTTTGAGTTAAGTTGCCTGAAAACGACCTTCCACTAAGGGCTCTTCAGAGAGTCGCGTCGTCGAAATAAATGATCCTGAATAAGTTCTCATGAAGTTCCCCCACTCGATGAGGACGTCTAGTGTAGCAATATCCTGAGTGGGTTTTCCGCCAGACGATCGACCAGTCGAAAGAGAGCCTGAGGGAACGAGGCAATCCGATTTTTCCTCGATGAGTCGAAATGGTTATGTCAAAGATGTGGAAGAGAAAAGAGGGTTCCGGTTTTGGATATGGGACCCATCAGCCACTTGTTCGACGATACCCCCACTCCGAGAAGAGAGATATTTTCAATGAAACATTATCACAGCATTAAAAGTATGCACATGTTTCGGAGCTCTAGGAAATCATGAGTCCCTTCGGAACGGTTGGGGAAAAAGGTCTCTCATGGAGCATCAAGAGAAGAATTTCTGACCGATAATAATGCACCAAGTACTTGGGAGGAAGGAAAGGTCCGGTCCGGAGGATTTTCGAGTCAGAGAATCGATGCAGAGAATCCTCGACGGTCGCCGGTAGGGCTGCGCATCGTCTCATGGACGAATGGCACCGGTCGACGCGGAGCAGAGTACGTGAAGAAGCGAATTCCGAGCGTAGTTCGAGATTCGAGTCCAGAGCTCGACGACGAACGTTCCAGGGATTCGCTGCAGTTCGCGGAAGCCCCTGATAATAGCGATGGAATGAGTGGGGAACAAGAACACGTAGTGCTGCGTTAGCACGGACCTGAGCCCGGAGCGATTCCTTTCAAGTCTCCTCCACGCCGCCGCTGACTCCCTCGTACCTCGAACTGTCGGCAGTTTCTGAGAATGGGAAACATTTTCCGATAGATAAGCTCTTGGAAAGCCCGACGTTCAAAACTCTAAGCTCCATCGGTATGCACGAGGAAAAAATCTTTATCAAATTCAGTAAGGAATGCGAAGGAAAGTCCGCGAAGATGATTGACGTTTGCCTTGAGAATATCTGGTTCGGACGGCGTCCTTGCGGAGCGTGCCCAATCTCGGGAGCCATCGGCCTTTAGTACCGGAAATTCCGTCGAGCTCGCCCCCAATCATGAACCCAATAATAATCTCTTCAACCATGACGTCGAGACGGAGATTCATAGCGGATTTGAGCGAGCCGACATAAAAAGCGCGGGTCAGAACCGAATGTGACCGGAGGTATAGGTTTTACGTTTATGACCGATGTGTCGGACGGCGGCGGTCGCGGCGACTGCTCGTCCAATGATGCATAATGCATGCGGCGGCCAGAATCGCGCGGTCTCGAGACCACGAAACGCAAAACGGGGTAGAGCTGCACGTAGATTGAATGCTGGAGAGTTACAACCATTCAAATACGGAGACGGGAGCTACTGAATATCTTCCGAAGCGTCCTAACCGCCCCGCGGTCCGACCTGCGATCATCTCCGAACTTGATGTACATAGGTACTCGTT